AAAGGGGATATGATTGGAGGCAGAAGGTTGTTTCTTTCAATTGATTACATTATTTGAATTATCCTATAGACTCTTACAACTGAGATAGCAACTATCAAGGTGGACTGCTATCAGACTCGAACATGAAACTTGATGAAATTGAAGAGCAGCAGATCAAAAATCCAATATGCTTTACATTATGTGAGATTTATGTTGAACTATGAGAATATTTCTAGACTTATAACGTCTATTGAGGACAGGAGAAAATCAAGTGCCATGCTACAGCTTATCAAAAACTTGACAAAGTTTGACTCTTATTAACATGTTACTGTTTAGGGTTCTTTCTTTTGTTGCTTAATTCTTGATTATTCTGATCTTTAGTTGTTGTTTTGTGAATTGTCAGATGATGAAGTCCTATGTGTGGCTTCAAACTTCTGATGGTTCAATACAACAAGTAGAACAAGAGGTTGCTATCTTCTGCCCCTTCATATGTAATGAAATACACTCAGGCATGGGATCTTCTAAGAATTATCCCATCATCCTTCCACCACGGGTCAATCCACCCATGTTGAGTTTGATTTTTGACTACTGCCGGTTTCATCAAGCACCTGGACACTCTAACAAGGTCTTCATATGTTTCAGAACTCTATATTTTGTTTAAGTTGATATTCCTTCTTGTTCATATGAATTATTCAGTTATTCCCTTCAGAAGAAAAGCTTAATAGATGTCAATATTGTATAAGAAATTGAGAGTGAATTTTTTTTATTTTTTTTTTTCAAAAATTTGCATTGCAAGATACGGAAATAATAGATTTGGTTTTCTTGCTCGTCTTTGATGTAGGAGAGGAAGTCTTTTGAAGAGAAATTTGTTCGGATGGATACAAAAAGGCTTTGTGAGTTGACGTCAGCTGCTGACAGCCTGCAACTGAAGCCATTGGTTGATCTAACCAGCCGTGCACTTGCACGGGTTATTGAAGGGAAGTCTCCGGAAGAGATACGGGAGATATTTCATCTGCCTGATGACCTTACAGAGGTGTCTTGTGCTTCCAATCAGTGTACATGCTCAGTGTGCTTTTTTTAGTTTT